AGATAATTTTAGAGAGAGGATCAGAGGATCAGACAGACAGACAGACAGAGAGAGAGACATGATAGATAGATAGACAGACACACAGACAGAAAGAGTTACCATTGTTAAGTCCGTGTGTGGAGGAAACAGCTCTACTGAAGGCCAGGAACAGACCCAGGCTGGTAGCCATGAGCATCGGGAACATCACATACTTCATGTTGCCCCGGAAACACAGCTGTGGAGTACGTAACAGGTATCTTTGTTGTTTTGTTTTGAATTGGAGTGCAGTTTACGGCGCCCACAACTCTGAATAGGTTCATACATTAGTAGAGCGATGGACACATAAAACATTTTCAGTTTGGTAGGAATTCATTTTTAATCATTTCCCTGGTCATGGCCGAAGCCTACTCTTACCGAATTTAGGACAATGAAGGGATCTTTAACATGGCAACTTGCACACGAGATATTTCGCCCTTATCCGAGAAGGCAAGGTGTTACCTCTTACATACCTTAAAATCAGGTGTGGCTGAAAGACAGCAGTAATAAGGATTCAAGGATTAGGAGTAGAAAGGCTGCAAGAAGAGTCAGTAGCACAGATGAGGGGGTAAAGAGGGAGCGGAACGGTTGGGGGGGGGGGGGTACAGATTAGTGCAGAAAGTGGAGACGAATTCAGAAGACAGAACAGGGTTAGAGAGCAGGAAAGGGGGTGATATGAGCAAATTTTAGGTCAGGTTTAAAACCAGAGACCTGTTGAGTGAGAGGCGAACACAGAAACCTCTAGACCACGAGAGCCCCCGAGTATACGGATTGATGGAATGACACCAAAATGTGTTATGGCCCCGCCCACCCACTGTCAGAATGAATCTGCTTCACTGAGACGACCAGCTACTTTGATTTTGCCTGCCAGAGCCAACCCAGCATCTCAACATTGTACGTTGTTCATAGTTTCAGGAAGCAGCATCACTGAATTCCAGACATGTCCATTGATGCTCCGTTGCTATTTCCAAAAGTTCCGCTGGGGTCTTTCTACTGATTGTGCTAGTGCATATCTGGTTAAACGTTTTTCTGTTCTTTTCTGCAAGGATGCCAGATTTTCTGCTTCTTTTTTGTATTCCCAAAACCGTCATCCGCTCCACAGCAGTACTGGCATTTGCCTCCTTGTCCTCTTCTTCTATCAGGTGGCGAGAGAGGCATTTCAGGATCTCGACCTTATTTGGTTGAACCGTGTAGCACCTCAACAGAAATTGTCCAAGCCGGCCTCAGGTAGTCGAGAAGAACTGTGGCTGTCGTAGACAGGTGGATGTCTGGACAGGGTCATTGCATCATCATCATCATCATCATCTAGTACCAGATCTGCGACAGACACCGGCGATCATGGTTCTCAATTCATTACTTTTCTCGGATTTTCTCAAAAAAGCTACTTTTCCCTGATCTTTCCATGTTACCCATTTGTTTAGGTCCGCCAAGTAGATTGTTTCGGGCCTACCTCTGCCTCGTTTGCCTTCAATTTTGCCAGTGACAGCTAGATGTTCAAGACCCTTATGTTTATTCAGGTGTCATAAAAACTGCATTTGTCGTTCCTGATTGTTTTTAACATTGACTGTCAATGTATAAATGATATACAACACGCAAAAGGGGGGGGGGGTGGGGGAGATTGTTTGTGCAGATAATTGTCTTTGACAAGTGACCGTTAAAGCAGGTTTAACTGTGTTCTATAAAATAACCTACCCGATACAACAGAATCCCAACACAGGAATCGAAAGCGCACCTTCTGCGCGCAAAAGGGACCAACTTAATTAACCACTAGATCTACTCCTTTTAGACACCGACGGCGGAAAAGGCGTGATTTCGAGTCGAAGTTTGTGTTGCCTTAGAAGAAGTTGCAAAAGACACTATGTCAAGAACAAGTGATTATCTTCAGATTAAGGGCACAGCACACAAGACTGAGACAACATATGTACAAGTGTTTTAAACTAGTACAATCACCAAAATGCCAGTGTGGAGAGGCGGACCAAACTGTTGAACACATCCTTCAGCACTGCAAGACACAAAGGGCCCTGAGACAGGAAACGTGGCCAACCCCACTGACTATTAACAGCCGTCGTATTTCTCATTGTTGTCCCACAACTAATTTTATGAATAATAATAACAGCAACAAAAACAACACAAGCAGTAACAGAAATAGTATTAACAAAAATAATAAAAGGAAATCATTACCCTTTTTCAACTGCTCTATTTTCAATGAGTACGTTAAGTTGGAACACCCACTGTAAGATCAAAAAGGATAGCAGTAGCGACAACAACATTATCAACAACTACAAAAAACAGTAATAACAATATTATTAACATCAATAGCAACAACACCAACATAACAATAACAATAATGATAACAAAAACAATGACAATAAATGAAAGACATATTCCCCTTTCAACTGAAAGTACGATCAGTTGTGCTAGTAAAATGAAGAAGAAGAAGAAGAAGAAGAAGAAGAAGAAGAAGAAGAAGAAGAAGAAGA